AAATACAAGAAGACAACATGAATAGGATAGACATCCCCTGCACATGGATCGGTAGAATTAACATCATCAAAATGGCCATCCTGCCAAAAGCAATATACAGATCTAACACCGCCATCCTAATTAAAGTCTCAATGACATTCTTCAAAGAAATTGAAAAAAAAAATGTTGATGAGATTCATATAGAACAACAAAAGACTTCAAATAGCCAAAACTCATGACTAGGAAGAAAGAGAACGGAAGGATAACAATCCCAAACTTCAAGCTATACTACAAAGCCATAATAATCAAAACTGCACGATACTGGAGCAAGAACAGACATACAGACCAGTGGATTCGGATAGAAAACCCAATTATAAACCCCACAGGTTTATGAACAACTAATCTTTGACAAAGGAGCAAAGAAGATACAATGGAACCAAGAAAGTTTGTTCAGCAAATAGTTTTGGGAAAACTGGGAAGCTACATGCAAAAAAAAAAAAAAGAAAAAAGAAAATAGATCACTACCTCACTACCTCACACCATACACAAAAATGAACTCAAAGTGTATTAAAGAAATAGACATGAGAACAGAAACCTTAAATTAATTGGAAGCAAAATGGGCCAAACACTATAACACATAAATTTCAGTGACTTCCTTAAAGATAGAGCACCCAATGCAACAATAGTGAAGGCAAGGATAAATAGCTGGGAAAACAACAAGTTAAAGAGCTTCTGTACAGCAAAATAGACATTAAAAAAAAAAAACAGAAATCCCACAGATTGGGAAAAATTTTTCTCACACAAAACTAATGATAAAGGATTGATCACATAAATATACAGTGAACTGATGAAACTCAAAAAAAAATAAATAACCCTATCAAAAAATGGACAGACGAGTTAAAAAGACACATCTCCAAAGAGGAAATGCAGATGGCCAACAGGCATATGAAAAAAATGTTCAACATCACTTGTAATAAGGGAGTTGCAAATTAATACCACAATGAGATACCATGTCACCCCAATGAGAATGGCAAATTTTCAAACTAGTTACAACAAATGTTGGCTAGCATGTGGCGAAAAAGGAGCTCTCCTGCACTGCTGGTGGGAATGTAAACTAGTACAACCACTATGGAAAACTGTTTGGAGGTTCCTCAAACTGCTTAACATGGAGCTACCGTACAACTCAGCAATTGTGCTCCTAGGTATCTATCCGAAACACACAAAATATTGATTTAAAATATACCTGCACGACCATGTTTATTGCTCCTCTATTTACAACTGGAATGACATGGAACAGCCCAGCTGCCCAAAAGTCAATGAATGGATTAAAAAGACTGGATTCCATATACACAATGGAAATTTTCTCTGTAATCAAAAAAGAAAGAAAGAAAGAAAGAAAGAAAGAAAGAAAGAAAGAAAGAAAGAAAGAAAGAAAGAAAGAAAGAAAGAAAGAAAGAAAGAAAGAAGGA